ATATATATATATGTACTTATGTATGTATATTTGTATGTATATTTGTAATTATGTATGTATATTTGTATGTATATATGTATATATATATATGTATCGGCGAATTACGCTCGATTCTATGCTATATGGCGTTTTTGGAAAGTGCCATTTTGGCGATCAACAAACAAACAAATCCACCTAAATGTGTTTGGAACTAAGTGTGGCACCAGCAATACGTGGAAGGGTGTGACTGTGGGAGGCATTTGCTACAATTCATAAAGATAAAGAACAGTCTTACCTTTGAAGTCGATTCAGTCTTACTTACCTCGGCCAGTTGGTCGATGTCTTGTGAGGAATTTTTTTGAATGACGTTTTGTCCGCTGTAGTCATGCTTGTAGGCCACGTCCTTTACGGTGTGGTGTTCTGCCGAAGTGGAGTGCGATAAACAAGTCTAGATGGAGTCATACTGATTACGTGCTCCTTGCGTAAACCCTGCTTTTTGAAGTCTCGCGGTGGATTGAGTCATATTGAACTGCTAGATATTGTTAGCATCATTAACTATGTGTGTATACATATAGTTTGCCATACTTTGTAGCCGTTACTTCTGTCTGTTGTGCGATAAAGTTCTTCTTCTTCTATTGTCTACGTAAACTAAAGAGCTTCAAAGCTTCTTGCACAAGCCCTGCTTGCACAGTATTATCATGTTTCTGGAAGACGGGGGCGTATACTTTGACAGTCCTCCAAGCTAAGATCTTACCTCCTGACCTCTGCTTGGTTTTCATTCGTATGGCAATGCCTCCGGCAGTGAAAATTTCGCTTCTGCAAGAGATCAGCTGATCAAGCATGATGAGAATATTAACGTACACCAAAGCGTGTTTTTGAGATCAACTAAACGCCTACAGTTATTGCAAAAATGGCCTTTTATGTTTTCTGACAACCGATCTTCGCGCAATGTGACCAAGGTTTTACGACGGACTAGTTTTAAGCCTTGGTCACTCAGTTAATAACTTTATTGCACAACAACTGCGCCAACTATGCCATCTATGAACTCTCACCTGTTGCCCACAGTTGACGCCGCCGTTGATAACTTATTAACTAAAAAGCGGAAGTTGCAGCGTACGTGTTCGTGTGCGAGACCGCCATTTTGGGGTGCGTCGTACTTAGCTGAACTCGTCATGTTTTCTTTCGGGTAGAGGCAGAAACTGGATAAAGTGCAGGTGAGTTTTACCATTTTTATTGTTAGATATGTGTGTGAGAGTTTTCAATATGTGAGAGTTTAGTGCGTGCAGTATTCGTAAACGAATCCATCTAATAAACTATAACGTTACGTCTCATACTGTTATCAAATGGTTGGTTTAAAACCTTGCCGTTATCAACCACTTGTAACCCATTCAAAAGCCAGTACCAAACAAGTAGTCTCGACGCCAGACGCATAACACGCCGTGGTACGCTGTCAGCTAGCAATAAGGGTCTAACTGAGGGGGCTGTGGTATATTTCCCTTTGGGCATGCTAGCCCCAGAGCCGAGGAGCTACCCTGTGTTGGCGCTGGAAATAGTCTGGCACCAAAAGGCTAGCAGCGTCAAAGTAGGACCAAACGTTAACCTAACATAGTCAACAATTTTCCTCAAATTCAAAGCTGTAAATAGTGAGTTGCAATGTGCTTCCTTGACGTCACCTGGTCGTCCAATAGGTTAGCAACAGCAAATCGTGTTCATTATTGTAGAGTTATAAAGCCGTCTTGTGACTTACCAAAGGTTACTGTCGGTCATTTACAGTACCGTGGACGGTTGGTTCAGTGTTGTAATCCTACAACAAGTACAGAGTTCTTGTAGCCTCCTTTGCAGGCGTTCGGGGGGTGGTGGTCGTTTTTTTTGGGGGGGGGGGACTAGAAAAAAAAATCGAGAAAAATTCAGAAATAGTGACCGTTGCCGGAACGCCTGCAAAGTAGGCTAGTGTGCCTTTAGTGAGAGCAATGGTATGATAACGTATGAGTAAAGGTGTTCGCCCCTTTCGATGAGGGAGCCTAGTTTATCCATTATGAACTAATATGGAAAGAATGCCGTGCCGCATAGCTCTTAAGCTTTGCCATGACCGATCAAAAGCTAATGTTAAAACTGATCAAATATCACGAAACGCTGGATTTTTCCTAATGACAGCGTACAGAAAATTTCATTTTATGTTGGATATTCTATAGAAATTAATAAAAAAATGTCCAGCAGATAATCTTGATATTCATTTCAAACTTCATTTCATTTTATAGCATAATTAGTAAAACAAACATTGCGTCCATTGTTGTAGGGGGGTACGAAGGTACCTTAATCTATTACAGTTTGAATGTCAGCAATAAAAGTTTTTTTTTTCTACCTTGACACAATAGGGGTCCGGAGTAACGGCCTGCCATGGACGATGACGAGTTTAGGAGTGCTGTGAGGGAGGGAGACGTGCAGACCGTGAAGAGGGGTCTGCTGGCCGGGAGGGACGTCAATCAGAGATTATCAGAATGGGTAACTGCAGCTTATGTTTGTTTTTCCAACTGGCTTTGGGATGGTAGCGTTTCTATCACTTTTTTCTATGACAAGGTGGGCCCGGCTTTCAATGAATATCACGTTAGCCGTTCCATGCTTGGGTCGTTCCATGATCTTCCATTGTTGCCAGGTTGGGTGTCGGTTACATTACCATATGAATGAAAACCAAGGAGATTTCAGGAAGGAAAAACTGGCCGAATAATGAAAGTGACGTAATTCATTACCTCACGTAACCCTAAGTAAACTCTTTAAAATTAAGTACAGTCATGCATTTATCCCTTGATATTAGAATTTGGTATTTCGTCTGTGAACTGACCATGGCAGATTCTGAGGTACTGATAAACCGTGATTGTGCTGCAGATGTCGTGTCGTGTTGTGTTGTGTCGTGTTGTGTTGTAGCATCTAAATAACATTTCAATCGTTTTATCCACTTTTATTCAAATATAACCTAAAAATCTATCTTGCTGACCTTGAGGGTTGATTTGAATCCACCGGTTTGCAGCAGCGTTATAATTTCTCCGTGTGTTTACACAGGATGGCTGGACGGTCTGGACCGCACTCCATCTGGCCAGCTGCACGATGGTCAGATTTGGGCCCAAAAGTCCCACTCCGCTACTATGGAGATCGAATCCCCCGAACCCGCGAATCTTGTTCGATATGACGTCATTCGAATAGAGCGGGCGTTCGATCTGGGGTTACCCGCGGTCATTTACAGTAAAGCCGCTACAACCGGCTACTTCAAGCCCTTTTTTACTTGGGAACCACGGAACAGGAAAAATCCACCTTTCCACAAATATGAACCGTTTTCAAAACATTACATCTATGCCGTGATTTTATTGTGGATATGTAACATGTAACGAAGCTACTGCCGTCATCGTGGGTGACCTTGAAGGTCAGAATTCTTGTTGACGCTGTTATAAAATCCAGGTCCCCATATCCAAGTGGCACAGCATGCGTGCAAACATGGTATTTTAACCATTCCCAAAAATAGCTCAAATTACCTCATTGAGGGCTTGTTTGGAAGAGGAACGATTTCCGCAGATTTCTGTCTTAGGGATTTTTTAAATATGGCCGCGATTATGAATTATCGGTATTTAAAGTTAAAACACTGCGTTTTTAGCTCTTCTTTTGACTGTAAGTCGAGTTTTAGTTAAAAAATAAAGAAATCCTAAGACAAAAAGTTTAAATTTACTGTAATATTTCTAAAAATCCAAAAATCTAACCTCATTCTTAATTTTCGGGGCCTCTTAAAATCAGTTGTTTGGTTCTCGTGACCCCTTTTTGAAATCCGAAATTGATCTCATTTGGAAGCAAATGTACACAAAGTGGAGCAAAGGCAGTGCAAGAGTAACATTTGAGGTAAACAAAAACACTTATTACATTTTATTTTGACGAGTATTTACTCTCCAATTACTTTTGTTTATTTTCAAATTTTACCCGTTACCTCCGGGCCGGCCCGGGACTCCCGCGCGGCCACGTTCGAACGCGTTCTGTAACCCGATACCTCCCTAGTAATGCGATTTTAGCCTAGCAACCGACCGCCGTGAGCTGGCACGGGCAGACTGGGGTAGTGGAGCTGCTGATTCAACATGGCGCTGATGTGCAGGCGAGGAGCAACGTAAGTACAGACAATCATCTCATGTAGTTAGGATTAGGAATTAATGACTATTGAGAAATATCTACTATCCTGAGAAAATTATCTGATTTCTTTACTTGAGGCCCCATTAGCTATAGCCACGTATGACAGAGGTTTTTTCAACTATAGTCTATGAAAATTGTTATGAACAGTAATAAAGTTTCGGTTTAAAGTGATGAATAGCCATAACATTTTCTTAGTTTTTTTTATATACTTTGCTTGATTATATACATATAACATTAATTGTCAACTTTAAATTCCTTTTAAACTAAAAATTCTATCTTGCCGTCCTTAAGGGTCTGCTTATGTATCATACTATCAAACCATGCAGCAGAGTTATAGTTTCTCCATGTGTTTACACAGGATGGCAGGACCGCACTCCATGTGGCCTGCAGGCACGGGCAGACTGGGGTAGTGAAGCTTCTGATTCAACATGGCGCTGATGTGGAGGCGAGGGACAAGGTAAGTACAGACAAGCATCTCAAGACATGTAGTTAGGATTAGGAACAGTTGATGACTATTAAGAAATATTTCCATTTCTGACTGATTCCTGAGAATATTCTCTGATTTCTTGACTTTTTGGGCCCATTAGCCATGACAGGAATTCAAGTTTGGTAGGAACTTTTCAAATCTCTATTATGGGTATCTTATGTATACATATATCACAATGTGATAAAATGCAGATAGCCATAGTGTTTTTATGGGAAAACTATACTTATTGTGAAAACACTAAAAATTCTACCTTGCTGTCCTTGATTGTCTGTTTGAAACAACCAATGTGCAGCAGAGTTGTAGTTTCTCCGTGTGTTTACACAGCTTGGCTGGACCGCACTCCGTCTGGCCAGCTTGTACGGGCAGACTGGGGTAGTGGAACTGCTGATTCAACATGGCGCTGATGTGCAGGCGAGGGATAAGGTAAGTAATTAAAATTATCTCATGTAGTTAGGATTGAGGGGCAATTACTGATTGTTGAAAAATGTCTACAATCCTGTGAATTTCATCTGATTTCTTGACTTTTTGGCCATTGGTAATGGTAGGGGTTCATGTTTGGTAGCTAGGGACTTATATATACATGTATTTATTGGGTCATTGCTGTCTTTGATCAATCAAAATGCAGCAGAGTTTTTATGTTTTCACAGGTCGGCCAGACCGCACTCCATGAGGCCTGCAGGAGCGGGAGAACTGAGATAGTGAAGCTGCTGATTCAGCATGGCGCTGATGTGGAGGCGAGGGACATCGTAAGACAATCATCTCATGTATTTAAGATTAATCGTACAGACTGTTCAAGACAATGTATAATGGAGAAAAGTATCTAAATCTCGACAATGTACGGCATAGGACTGCCACTACAAAACTCAGGATAAGCTGCCACAAACTACACATTGAAACCGGACGCCATAACCGCACTCCCCTGGAACAACGAATATGTAGGTATTGTAATCTAAATAGGATAGAGGATGAGGAACACTTTGTATTAGAATGTAGTTTATACAACGAAGAGAGAGCTGAGCTTTATAAACTATTGCAATGTATGTTTCCCCATTTCATACATCTCAGCAACACAGATAAGTTCATATTTCTGATGATTTTAGACAAACCTTCGATTATAAAACACATCTGTACTTATATCTACATCATTACTAAGAAGCGAGAAGAAACCAAATTATCGTAATTATTAGACTATATGTCCATAGTACATAGAATTAGCACTAGCTTGTACATTGTATATATTCATTGCAAGCTGTGACGTCTTTCCTGTGACCTGTACTGAACCCAGTGGGTATTTGCGTACAATAAAGGTCTTCATTCATTCATTAATTCATTCATTAATTGCAGGGGCTAGTAATGATAGTTGACACATGTTTACAAACGTTTGAATGTTCTCTGATCTGTTGGGTTTTAGTGCCCATTTGTCATTAAGCAGGTGGTCAATTGAAAGTTTCAAGTTCTCTAGTTTAATGATTGGTGCTGCTGCAATGCAATTGCAGCTTTCCCTTAACTTCTGCCAAGCGAGACAAGGCATCCAGAATGTTTTAACTGAGAGATAGTTACGCACAGTCCTACCTATTTCTGATTGCATGTGGAGGGAATATCTAATCTCCAAGCAGATCTTTCGGTTGGGTGGCAAAAGACCGTATCCATTGGCCATCCTGTATCCATTGGCCGTCCTGTATCCATTTCCCAACCGAAGGTGGCTAATAGGCACTCCTCTGGCCAATGGATACTGTCTTGCCACCGAAAGATCTGCTTGGAGATTACGAATATCTTGTTACCTGCTATCACATAGCATGATTAAGGCCTTAAAATTTGGTCGGTTTACGTTCCCCAATGCTCTGTTCCTCCATGCAGAAGTTAATCTAAATCAAGTTAACACCGCCTTTCATGAACACCAAGGTAGCAATCATAGGAACAAAAATATTTAAAAAGTATATTGTATATGTATATTGTACTACGTTAGGCCACACCGACTTAATTTAAGGATGACAATCTCTGAAGACCCCCAAACTAGTGCGTGCGGGCAAAAAAAAGAAAAATCCGGACAAAAATAAAAATGGTTCTAAACCACAGGAATACAAAGCCGGTATTGTGAATTTAGCGCATTACATAGCGAAGTATACGACAGGCCGACACATACTGGATTTTTGCGGAATTTATGAATCGACACTGTACGTATGTACTGAGTTCTTGAGTCTACCACCGACTTCATTGTCGCTGACCACCATCATCGGGACTACCCAGGCCTAAAGCCAGGCCAGAGCCTCGGAAGACGTGATCTTTTTTTTTTTAGATCAGGTGGAAATCAATGCGCGCGCGGATGTCATCCATAAAATTAAGTCGCTGTGGCCTTATATAATTAGTCTCTATTCCCCTACACAGTTTGGTAGAAAACCACTGGATGTGCATGACCAAGATCGCCGACGTTTTCTAAAGGTTAGTAAATGGTTGTTGTAGTGATGTTTTTCACAGAATGTATAGCATTTTCTTTATCACGTTGTCAATCGTATTTAATTTAATAGTTAGATCTTACTGCAAACAGGAAATCTTCCTTTAAAGTCTTGACATCACAATACAACTTAGTGATCATTTGATTTGTGATTATGGGCGAACAGGTGCCTTTGCTTAATGAAGCTGAGCTGAAACTCATATCTGAGAAAGGCTGCATATTTTCATGATACATGTTGAGTGTTTACATTAATCATCCAGAACCTGGCTACTGAAGTTTCCTACCACAAACTGATGAAACAGTCCGGTGGGGTGAAAGTCAACAGGTTTAAACTGTGCTTCTGTGGACCACAGGAAGCTGGTAAATCTACTCTGGTGGAAAGTCTGCAAACGGTACAACCTTACACTAGAATTTTTTAGTCCAATCATGATGATTTTTAAAGAGATATTTATCAATAGCACAATGACACAAAATTTCTAAAATTTAATCTGTAAAGTATATTTTTGTCTGGAGGAATGCATGCTTCTGCTATTGTCAATTATACATCACTTGAAACAGTTTCTCATCTAACTGTTATATTTTTTGCAGTTCCATGCTCGTGATTCAATGTTGTGGGGATTTGGGAAGCTAAGATGTTTAATGATGAATTGAAAAGTGAATCATTCTTTTATTTCAACCTTGCAATAACCCTACACTGTTACTGCTTATAAAGCTGTCATTTCAGTTTTACTAAAGAAGATCTTGACATCTCCACGTTATTTAGAAAACTGGAATGACACATTCCTCTGTATATCAATAATTAAAGCACTGAACTGGATATGCTAAAGAAATATCTTATAATTTCATATAGGGATTTTTCTTCGCTTTGGTGCGAGATCAAATGACTTCAGACAATCAGCCACACGAGCCCACCCCAGGTGTGAATGTGGCAACAATCAACATCCCCGGTGTGGGGCAGGTCAGTGTGTGGGACTTCGCTGGACAGTCGGAGTACGCAGTAACCCACAGCATGTTCATGGATGCGGAGAACACCATCTTCATTGTGCTGTACAACATCATGGACGATGTCCACACACAGAAGAAAAAGGTGACTAAACGAGTATACATACTCATCATCATCTGCCTGCCCTGCAGTCGACCACTAGTCTTTTTCACGATTGACGATCTGTTGCCAGATCAGCAATGTCCTCCGGCCAGAGGTCACACTCGGTGTCCCCCAATAAGTTTCGAATATAGCCCAGGTAGCCGTTTGTGTCCTGGGCGCCTTTTGCCGTACGTCGGTACATACAGGGCATATGTCCGGCATGGTTCCATCACAGGCATTCTAAGTACATGCCCCAGGAATCGAAGTTGACGCTGCCTTTCCGTTGTGGGTCTAGTGTTGGTCAAGTTGTAGATCCAGGCGTTGCTCACATGGTCTAGGCGCTTGATGTTACATGTAAGCATGACCCTATAGCATGATGTGGCGAAAGCGTTTAGCTTATTTTCCATGCCCCCCGACATGACCCAGCTGCAGGATTCACAGCCATATAGCAGTATTGTCACGCAGGTGGTGTTGAAAAGCTTGGCTTAAGTGGATGTGGAGATTGATGGACTTCTCCAGATCTCCAACTAATAAACAGCAGTCCACGCAAGTGATTTCCTCTTGGTCATATCATATTACTGCTAGAGGCCATCAGAGACCCCAGATATTTAAAGTTGGCAACATGTCTTTTTGGCTGTCCGTATACATGTACCTCTAGCGGTGGTTGTGGGTCACAGTTAATTGTCATGTACCCTGTCTGGGGTATACTGATGATGAGACCAAGTTGTTTCCCAGCAACCGTTGTTTTAGCAAGCTGTTCCTGCGCCCTGTGTATGGTTGACCCAAACTAGGTAATCACTAAAACTAAAATTGATTTCGATAGTAACTCATCTGCTTGTCACAGGTCCACTGGTGGTTGTGCTTCATCAAGTCCTGCAACACAAAGGCTAAGCCTAACATCATCCTAGTGGCCAGTCATGCGGACCAGACTGATACAGGTTTGTTATTATGGCTTCACCATACCACAAAGTGGTTTGGTAAAACATATTGTGTTCTCTCATGTTTCTTCTCCTCCTCCTGCCATTTCTTTAAAGGGATTCAACTCAGCCGTTTTTCGGCCGAATGACCTGAAATTTGGCATGGGGGTAGAGTGGGGAAATACCCCCAGGCGTTTTTTGGTTGAATTGTTTTGAAATAGGCTTTTAGAATTATTACTCCGTGAAGGAGGTCAGGACCTCCGGACGGAGTGTTGTGATCGGCTGATTTTTCATGTTCGCAGTCAAAATACTGGGTTCTCTTTGTGTAATCGGCACGCAATTTTATACACCGTCTGCGGGCATGCCCGTGTTGATGCACGAATGTGTATTTTTGCCGTTGCTGCTTTCGCGGTCAATGTAATATTGCAGACGCACCCCTACAATTACGAGGCGAATTGGAATGGTCCAGAAAAACGCGTTGTTTGGAATAGCAGTGGGGGGGGGGGGTGGGAACTTCATGCAGATACGGGGTGGTTTTGATAAGTGGTTCCAGATGTTTTTGCCCATGGTTAAGAGATGCCAAGTATTTTGGAAGATGTTCGCAGCCAAAACGCATTCTTACGTACGTCGCATTTTTGTGTAATTTCGCATGTGGTGTGGCATTATGTCCGGGATGATGCACGTCTTTTTATTTTTACCGTAGCTGATTTGATATTGGAGTAAATGGTTATTTTCGAAACATCCCCATGTCGTTGAAATGTTGTCGTCCGTTTATGTCACCGGTAGTAAGTCGCTGCGGGGCTGATGGGGTGATCAGAGGTCAACATTAGGAAATGTTAATACCGATGACGTAATCCTATCGATTTCAAACTGGTCGGGTGTGGCGACCTAGTGGCGGCGTGTATTTAGTCACGTAGCAACTGGCCGGTCGTCCTAGCAACGACACATGGCCAATATTTTTGGGTTGGGCCGCTCCATAGTGTTAGTGGAGCAGCTCTTTGTAAACATGGACAATATTTTTGAGCAACCCATCAATGTGTTCTGCCTCGTGGTCGGATGTGGTCTGGGGCTGGTAAACCGCACATACAGTACTAGTAGATCGGGTAATTTTATGATTTGCTAGTTGTAAAGGCGTCGTGTAGTATGAGCCGGTATATGAATAAGTAGCCTGTGTTACACAATTATGCTTTCGGCCGGATTGATGTGCAACTGTTACTAATTACAGGGACTGCGCTAATGCCGACCAGTCGCGCTGTCCTGATACACCGCGAATGTGCGAGTGTTCCCTGTAGA